ATCCCATTGCGATGATGGGTTTCCTGTCTTAGGTGGGAGGACTGTACAGCTGTTAAAGGCTCAGGCTCTCTTTCTCATCTTTGGCTAACCGATTCAGTGTCTCAGGCAGGAGCACAATTTAGGCTCTGCAGTACTCCATCTTCAGGTTGTGGTAGTGGACTTGGATTGGCTGTATTTTTATGGAATCAATGTGTTTAAGGAATGCCACGAGATTACTGAAAAGGACAGGCCCTAGGGAGCAAACAACTGAAAGACCAAGGAATGGGCCAAGTAGGAGGAGCAGAAAAGGGAGGAGACCATTCCAGGCAGACCATAAGGGATTATCAGCGAGTTGTTTTCTTCATTGAAGAAGATCTTGTAATTGGTTGAGCTTGTCATGAACTATGTCGGACTTGATGGCGTGAAAGCAGCAGTGTTTGTGTAAAGCAAGACAGAGACAACCCTGTTCTGCTAGGAGGAGATCTAAACCTCGTCTATTTTGAAGAACCACCTCAGCCAGGGAATCTAGTTGGTCTTGATTGAAGGTAACTGTGGTGGCTAATTCCTGAACATCTGAGATAAGACTCTCAGTGACTTGGCGTAGATGGAGGGAATAATCCAAACCAGTGGAGCTGGTTAAAGGCTCAGGCTCTCAGCTGCAGCTGCTGTGATACCCAGGGTGGTCAGAATGGGAATAAACTGTATAGTATGTTTGGATCTTCCCACGATAAGGTCGAAGGAGGGGGCGGGGACTGGTTAATTTCTTTTGACGATCCCTATATTAGGCATAAGAACGGCAAGAGGGGACCAGCAATTTGCATAATGGCTATGTTGCTGGACTCCCATGTAGTCGGCCGCGGTTCGTGTCCCGGACCCGGTGGCTTAAAAGTCACGCCAGGCACGTGTGTGTGCGCGCCCAAGATCCCTAGAGGAGAACGGGGGAGAAGGGATTACACCATGGCTATCCCCCTTAGGGGGTGATTTCTTGCTTTCTGTCTCTCTCTCTGGCTGGTGAGCGCATGCGCCCTATAGCAAAAACCTATCAAAAAAAAAAAAAAGAAAAGAAAGAAAGAAAAAGAATGGCAAGGTTTCAGAAACCCACCCATTTAGGGGGTAAGAAAGTGGAAGCTAGATTATTACCGCAGACAAAAAACAGAAAAGGCAGAGTTTTGAGACAATATATTGAGAAGGTCACTACAGTTGGAGAATAATGTGAAATTTAGGAATGAGAGAGTATTTTTGTCCAGAGGGACGCCTTGAGGTTTAGGTTAGGCCAGTGGATGTTAGGAAGCTTGAGGAATGAGGAAATGAGTAAGATTTTGAAGTTCGTACAGAGAACACAAAATCATGGGTAGATAAAAATATAAAAATTTATCTGTAGGAAGATGGTTATTAATAGTTCCAGTAAAGGAAGCACATGCAATAGGCCAGAAATCTGTTTGTTGGAATAGCCAATTAAGTTGGTCCTTAGTATATGACTGGATGATTGTATCAGGATTTTTGCCATATGTCCAGGTCGACCACAATTGAAGCAATTGCCTCCATTATTATGGTTAAGGAACTGGCGGACAGTATATCCTTTAAGAGCATCGGCCAGAACCAATCTCTGTTGGTATGCTGACCAAATATCAGAACATAGGCGAATATATCCTGATAAATCTGTCTTTTTTCTATGTGGCCTGATTGCTGCTTGATAAGCAGCATTAGCATTTTCAAATGCCAATTGTTTAACAAAATCCTTACCTGGCATCACTGCCAAATATTCTGCCTGCTGCAGTAATCAGCTGATGAACAAACTCAGAAAAATGTTCGTGAGGCCCTTGTTTTATTGTTGTAAGGGAGGAACTTAACTCATCTTTAGTAGGAAGTGTTCTCCAAGCTCTCAAGTCTGCTGTATTAATTTGAGCAAATCTCCTTGGATCATATTGCATTTGATTTTCATTGTGT